TTAAGTCAAATTCAAACTTAAATTTGGTCTTAACTTTGCAAGTGCATAATATTTTATGATGAAAAAATTCATAAATAACTTAACAAATGTTTTGGTAATTTGAAAGAATTTATGTATTTAAAATATTTATGTATTTAAATCAGTATTTTTATATGCAACCCGAACCGCGGTTAAACGGGTGATCGATAATTCAATTTGATTTTTAAAAATATCTATATTTTTAAAAAATCACTAAAATTCGTGACTAACCGATTGAACAGGTGGATAACTGACATCTAATAGTTAAACCTGTAAAATAAGTTTATTTTTGTTGTTTTATATACTTTTTATTTTTTAATTTATCTAAATATTTTGAAAGAAAATTATGAGAAATTATTAAAAACGATGAGATCTAATATTTTGTATTTTTTGACATAAGATTAATTATATTGTTGATTGGATACATGGATAGTAGTATAAAGAAATGAACTAGATTTTGACCCGCGCTTGAAAGCGCAGAAATTTTTTATAACTAAAATTTATATAATTGGGTTATGTCTTAATTTAAAGAATGTTTTGGTATATAATAAGTTTATCAAAATTTGTGGTGGCGATTTTTTTCATTAGTTTTTATTTTTAGATTTTGGTTTTTAGTTTTTAAGTTTATATTTTTGATTTTCAGCTTTTGTTTGGGTTTTTAATTTTTAGATCCACTGAATTAGTTTGAACTGATATTACCAACAAACAAATTTCAAATAATCGAACATCTAATTTAAAACTGAAAAGATGACAAATTTTTTTTAAAAAAAATTGCAATAGTTTATTTTGTAAATAAACAAAAGCAAAAATTATAACAATATGTTATCCAGAACAATGCGTTTTCAGCTTTTTGTTTCTGGTTTCTGGTTTTAGTTTTTAGAATTGGTTTTTGGTTTTGCTTTACATTATTTTTTTTAAATCAGTAAATTATTTAAGAAAAATAAAACAATAAATTATTTAAAAGTTACCATTGAAATTTATCAAAAAAGTGATTGTTATTTAAAATAAAAAATACAATAACATGTTTTAAAATACATGATTTAAATAAATGATTAATAATAGACAATTTTGTTTTGTTAAAAATATTAAATAAATTTGGGTAATTGATTTTTGATCCATTAAGAAAGAAATTTTATTCAATGTTTTTGGAGTTTTTCCTTAATAGTAAGCCTAAAATCAAACCATATAATTTTTCCTAAAAACAAAAGTAAGCCCAAGACTATATCCCATAAATAACCATCGGTTTAATTTAAGTAATGCGGTTCAATTAACTATATGGCTTGTTGTAACACTCTAGAAAGAGTCCAAATTTAAATGAAAATTTGTATTAATAGAGAAAAGACTATATTTTAATAGAGTAGATTTCCATTGGTTTCGTATAATTATTAAATTTCCATTTGTTTTAAGGAATTGTTAAGATGCTAAATGGTATATTACGATTTCCTCATTAATATAATTAGTAGATTTCCATAATCTTTTGATAATATATATTCTTTTAGAACATTTCATATTTGTAGGAAAAAATATGTGTTTTTGGTAGACACATAGATATCTGCCGTATTTTGAAGATACTTTACATTAAGGTCGCTATGTTATATTAATTGTGTTGGTTTAATTTAAATAATGCGGTTCAATCAATTATAAGACTTAAATTATTTGTAACACTCTAGAAAGGGCCCAAATTTAAATGACAACTTGTATCAGTAGATAAAAAGAATGTCTCTATTTAAATAGATTAGATATATTGTTTGTAAACATATCTCTATAATATTATTTGAGAAGTCACTTTCTTATGTGTAGCCCTCACGTTAATTCTCACGCTGGTTGATTACTATGATACCCTTAATGAATTAAAAAAATACATTTAAATATTATTATTTTCTTTTATTTTTTTGTCCAAATAACAATATAAAATAAAAAGGAAACATGTATAAAGTTTACAAAACTCTTTAAAAACGAAAATATAAGTATATATAAATATGGTTTCATAAAAATGGAAAGTTCACAAAATAGTAATATTTAATTTAAATATACTTTAAATAACATAAAACATAATTTTGAAGTAACAAAATACTTTATAACTATATCTTCTTAGATGAAAAACAATATTTGTATATAATGTGATTCCATAAAAAAAGTTCACACAACTAATCTTTATATTAGAAAAAGAGATATTTTTTATTTTAAAAAATAATTTTAAACAATAAATATATAGATTTTCAAAGTATTTGTTTTTGTATATATCTATTTTATTAGATGATTACATAAAATAATTAAGTAACATAAAATGATATATGTTTAATTGACAAAAAAAATTATAATTAGTATTCTTGAAATATATATATTTTTATTTTAGTATATTTTTGACTATAAGATCTTACAATTACAGAAAAAATATAAATTCTATTTAATTATATAATAGAATTTCTCAAAACAATACCATTTTTACTGCATATTTTAAAAGATATTAAAAACAAAACTAAAAATGAATTTTAATAATAAACATTTTTTGATCAAATAACTACAATTATCTTAAAATATCATAACATTATATAATTTATCGAAGTAGATATATTATATTAGATTCAACCTAATTTTTCTGATTTACTAATATAGATATACATTTGATAAGATATCATTTCAAAATATAAATCTAAACTACAATATGGAAAGTTTCATATATAACCTAAATATCTATTCTATTAAAATAGAGTCATTCTTTTTATCTACTGATACAAGTTGTCATTTAAATTTGGAGTCTTTCTAGAATGTTATAAATAATATAAGTTATATCCCTTATATATTAATCCTGAAACATTCATAAATGCACAACCTAAGAGAGCATGCTTACGTGTCAAGCTCATAGAGCTTCTCAGCTTTAATTTTTTAATGGACCAACTTTACTAGGAATGAAATAATGTAACATTTAATTTATTGCATTTAGGACTATAATATATATACATTTTTCAAGGGACCAATTCTGCTAGGTATAAAACTATATATTTTATTTCCTTAAATAAAAGCTACGGAATTACCTAATATGATTAACATATATATGTAATTAATGATTATGAATAATACATATTTTTGTATCCTCTCTCTTTTTTGTTTAATTTTTAAATTATTAAAATAAATTAAACAATCACATTTAAATATATAATAAAAAATTAATTTTTCCTTATAGGTTATATTTTTAATTTTTTTAAAACGACCATAAATAACTAAAAATAGTAAAATCCCACATTGAAAATTTTATGATCAATGGTTTAACTTTGTTTTTTTTTTCCAAAGAAGATAAAAATTATCATAAATCGTACGAATATGAAGTATCATTAGTAGATATTCATACTATAAATATGTTAATTTAAAAATTTCAGTGAAAATGTTTGAGGTTAGTAGATACAAATTATAGTATTCGAAAGATTTTTGTTTGTTTTATTTGCTTCTTTTTTTTAATATCTTTTAGTTTGTTTAGATAATTTAACTAATTTTAAATTAGATATATTAATAGTTTAAATATTTTGATTTTTTCTCAACTTTTAATTTTAACAAATATTTTTTGGGATGATTTCAGATATTGGTTACAATCCAGTTCAAACTGAATTGAGAAGATCAAATCGAATCCAATCCGATAATTAGTAAAATTCAAATAGGATTTATGAGAATAATACCAAAATCTGAAAATACGTGTCAATCAAACTAAAACCGACGAAATCTCAAACGTTCAGACCTATGATGATTTAAGATACCAACATTTGTATTCATCATTTTATAATCGATAAATACTGTAGTATTGCAAAATGTTAAAAACCATTTAATGAATAAATATTAGTATAAAAATTTCATCCTGCGCATGCACGCGGGTTATCATCTAGTAACTGATTGAACCGTATTACTTAAATTAAACCAACACAATTAATGTAAAAAGATGACATTTATGTAAACTACCGTCAAAATATGGCAGATATCTATGTGTATACCAAAAACACATATTTTCTCCTACAAATATGGAATGTTTAAAAAGAATATATATCATCAAAATATGGAATATGGAAATCTACTAATTATACTTAAATTAAACCAGTGGTTATTTATGGAATATAGTTTTGGGCTTACTTTTATTTTTTGAACAAATTATATAGTTTGGTTTTTGGGCTTAATATTAAGAAAAAACTCCAAAAAATATTGAATAAACTTTTCACATTAAAAGATCAAAAAATCAATTATTATTTTCAGACCAAAAGATATTTAATATTTTTAACAAAACAAAATTATCTATTATTAATCATTTATTTAAATCATGTACTTTAAAACATGTTAATATATTTTTTATTTTAAATAACAATCACTTTGTTTTGATAAATTTCAATTGTAACTTTTAAATAATTTATTGTTTTATTTTTCGTAAATAATTTACTGATTAAAAAAATGTAAAGCAAAACCAAAAACTAAATCTAAAAACTAAAATCCAAAACCAAAAACTGAAAACACATATTATATATTTTTTGCTTTGTTTATTTACAATATAAACTATTTCAATTTTTTTTAATTTGTTTTCATCTTTTTCAGTTTTAAATTAGATGTTCGATTATTTGAGATTTGTTTGTTGGTAATATCAGTTCAAACTAACTCAGCGGGTTTAAAAATTAAAAACCAAAACCAAAAACTGAAAATAAAAAGTAGAAACTTAAAAACTAAAAATCAAAATCTAAAAATAAAAAGTCAAACTAAAAACTAATGAAAAACAATCATCACCACAAATTTTGGTGAACTGATTTTATATCAAAATATTCTTTAAATTAAAACAAAATCTAATTATATAATTTTTTAATCATAAAAAGTTTCCGCGCTTTTAAGCGCGGGTCAAAATCTAGTGCACTTTAATGTGTTGTATATACCATAGATGCTTTTTTTTTTGAAACAAGTGAGATTATATTAATCAAACAACCAATATAGCAAATGACCATAACTAAAAAAAAAAAAAAAACTTCCAGAATCAAATTACGAAACCATATGTCTTAAACATTCCAAAACATGTTCCACAAACTACAAAAGCATACTGTAGATTCCATTACAAAAGATAAAAACATCTCAAAACCTGAGCTTGGTAAAGAAGCACCTGTTCTTCCCCGTCTTAAACCTCTCCTGAAGCTTAGCCTTAGCCTCCTTAAGAGCCGCGACCTTCTTATCCTTCGAAGACAAAGCCTCAAGAGTCGCCACTTCCTTGAGATCCACGTCAAGCGTGTAACGAGTAGGCATCAGATGCTGGTAATTCACGACCTTGATGAAACACTTGACCCTCGACTTCTTCGCCGTCTTCTTGGCTGAGTCCTTGCGTATGACCTTGCTAGGGTACTTCTTGAGTCCCGCGACGAGGCAGTGACCGTAAGGTCGCTCGCGGTTTCCGTCGTCGAAGGAGCGGATGATCACTGCCTTCTTCCCGGCGTAACGGCCTTGGAGAAGGATCACAGCTTTGTTCTGCTTTAGGAACTTAACCATGGCGGCTGCTTCTCTTCTTCCGGCGATTGCCACCATAGATGCTTAAGTATGAAGATATCCAGTATAAATAAATATTTCAAATGTAATATATAAAACCATAACATGAGGAAACGTATTAAATATGCATCATAACTTCTCGTCCTGTATATACCGTAAAATACATTTAACTAAAAGTCTTTATTTAAAAATCTTCCTTCTAATTAAAAAATTAACAAACGAAAGATTTTTCCTATGAACTTTCATAGATTTGAAAACTTGGTTATTTATCGAATTCATCAATAGATATAATAATTACAATATATAGGTGATTTTCCCGTGCTCATGCACGGATATGAATATTCATAAAAGTAAAATTTTATAATAATTGATTGATATTTAGTTTTAGTTTTGAATCAATTTATATGTATAATTTATATTAATAAATATTATATTATTCTAATTATACATACGACTTTGGATATATTATTGTCGGTTTAATTATTTTTTGGATCAATAGTCGGTTTGGTTATCAATTCGGTATATTTGATAATATCTATTTTTCGAATTCAGCTATAATATTTTTTATTCTAAATATAATAAAACTTTGATTAATTTTCTTATTTTCATTTCGGTTGGTTATTGTATTTAGATGTAAATATATTTTTTGACCAAAAAAGATATGTAAATATATTCTTAGATATGTAAATATATTATAGTTAAATTATGTATAACTTAATATATATTGTGCTTAAGATGAAATAAATAATAAGCTGTAGTGTTTGATTCAAAATTACATAAATGAATATAATGATAATATTTTGAAATCTCATGCATATATATAAATGCTAAAAAGAATTAAATTGTAATGGGTTAATATTTCTTTTTTCTTTTTAATATGCTTTAAGTCAACCTCTAATTTATATGTATAAAATTAAATAGATTATTATATTATTATTATAAAATTATATGTTCTTATTTTAGTTAGATGTCTAATTTTGGATATAAATTAGATTAGTCGAGTCATTCATTTTGTGAGTATATTGAGTTAAACATATTTTTAAAATTAAAATTGAAGTATTATTACTTTTTATTTTAGTTAAGTCAAATCAAGTTAGTTTTATTTATTGCTTAAATATATATATATATTTTCATAATATTTATTTTCTCTTTATTTTAGTTAAATCAAATCAAATTAGTTTTATTTATCGCTTAAATAAACATGTATTTTCATAATATTTATCAAATTATATGTTGATTTCTAAAAAAAATATTATAAAATAAAGTGTAACTGATAAATTTTTGGATGTTCATGAATATATATATTTTATTATTTTAAAAATATATTTTCTGTTATTTAAAATATATATTAATGGGGGTATTACTATTTTGTGAACTTTCCTTTTTAACAAAGTTATAATTTATACATATATATTCGTTTTTAATTTTTTTTTTAAAATTAGAAATATTTTCTTTTTATTATATATGTTATTTGGAAAAAGGTAAAAAGGAAACTAAATAAAAATAATAATCTTAAAATCTAAAAATTCATTAAGGGTATCTAAGTAATCAACCATCGCGAGAGTTAACGTGAGAGCGACACGTAGGAAACTGACTTCTCAAATAATATTATAGAGATGCTTAAACATGTCGATCATTTTCTGATGAATATTCTTTTCGGTGAAGTTACGGTTCATCTTTGTAATAATTATACTACTACAATCTAGTATTATTACGTTTACATTTGATAGCTATTGGAAAATATATATTATACTGTCATTGTGTAATATTTCTTCCGTTTCATATTAAGTGTCATAGTAGCGAAATTTTTATAGAACAAGTTCGTTTTCAGTTTTCAATAAAAAATTTATGAATTTTATAATTTATTTTTCTATTAATTGAAATATAGTTAGGTGTATGAATAATTGTGTTTATATATAGAAAATATAAAGAAATTAATTGTTTCATTATTTTGTGTGCATAAATCTAAAATGACACTTATAATAAAACAAATCTATTATATTAAAAGAGAAGTACCCATATAAAATACCCCTTAGTTTTCACTTTTATTTACAATAGCATGCCACTGAAGTTATTAATTATCCTACCTTATAGGATTCTTTGTCTTTTCACTTTAATTAATGCATTTCCAAAATCAAATTTTAACTAAAAACAATTATGGCAACAGTAATTATTGAAAAAAATTATTTTCATATATACCTTTCGTAATTAAATAAAAAAAAACTATAGAAATTGTTTTACTAATTCCTTATACATACCTACCTTTTCAGAATTTTTTTCTTATTAATTATCTACAAATCTTTAAATAGTTAATGAACAATATTGTTTTCAAAGATATATAATTATATTTTTATTATTTACAAGTAATAACTAAAATAAAAGTCACAAAAAGAAACATTTATATAATATATAATACATAGATTAATATAAACATATTATGTTATGTATATTTTTATATAAATAATAGTTCAAGGTAATTTCAGAATAATAAAATTTTAAAAAATAGAAATATATAGGACCATATATATTAAATAGTAGATACAACAATTTAGTTATATATTATCATAAAATTTTGATCCATAAAAATAAAATAAAAAACATTTTTGCAGATATACGGGTCATATTTTAAAAATAAGTATGACACAATGATAGTTTATAAGATTAAATAAAATTACTCAATATAAACTATAAAATTGTGTGTTTAAAATGTCGTTTTAAACAATTATTTAAACGGGTAAATTTAGAAATATATATTATCACTTATAAAATATATAAAAACAAACACTTACATGGATCAAACAACAAAATTTTCGGTATTCTTCTGTCAAAATTAAACCCATAAGTAATTTGTAACCATTTAATTGATACTTCATTTTTTTATTTTAAAATTTTCAATCCAAATGTTTTATATATTAAAAACTTTATATAATTTGAACATCAGGCTTTTTCTTAGAAATGTTATAACTAATTTATTATTTTTTGTATACCATATTAACTCTTACTTTTCAAGATTTGATGTATCTTTAACTGAAAAATATTTTCAATATATCGTCTACATGTTAGATTTGTTTGTATGATACCCAATATTTTTGATGCAATAAATTGTTAACACACACAAAAAAAACTTAATGTAATACAATTAATTTTTACAAAAATTCTATCTAATATAAAATTAAAAAAAAATAAAATTAATACTTGTGCGGTCGCACGGGTCAAGGTCTAGTAAAGTATATTAAAGTATGTAAACTTTTTTGTGAACAACGTAATTGTAATAATTGAAACTAGATTTTGACCCGCCCTTATAGAGGGCGGGACAACCTTTTTTGCTTTAAATTTATGCCCTTGTTAGATTATTCACAAGTATGTATAGGTATGAGTATACGGGTTCAGATTGATGGTCGATAAGAATTATTTTATCGATCCAACAATATAAATCCAAGATTTTAACCTGCGCTTTGAAAGCGCGGGATAAGTTTTTGGTTTATTTTTCCAATTTAGGAATTACTATAATTTTTTTTTGAATTTTAATATTTTAGTTCTGACATCTATAATTAAAAGTAATTTATATTGTCTTCTCATAATGCTAGACATTCAGGTTTTATTTCAGGTCTTTTCGGGTTATTCAGTTTTCGAATTATTCGGGTTGGGTGTTTAGGACCGTTGCAATATTTTGATCGGTTTAGTTCAAGTAATGTTGGATTGGGTTTGCATTTATATTTTTTCAAAGTTATTCAATTGGGGTGTTTAAGACCCGTGTAAAAATCAGATATTTTCCGGAGTAGTTCAGTTCGAGTAATGTTAGATTCGGTTTGCATTTTTTTGGTAAAACCCGAAATGAACCGGATTAGAAATAGTTTAAGTTATGTTTAAAGCTATAAATCTCAAAAAACTTTTAAAAACCGAATTGAACCCAAAAATCCAAAAATGGTAGTTTAGGTAATTAAGGGTTTTGCATATTTTAATTTATAAATTATATTATGATAATTAATATTTTATTATATTTCAAATATTTGGATACCTGTTCGGTTCTCGGTTTGGTTCTGGATTTTAGCTTTAGTTTTTGGGTTTGAGAAATAGTAACTATTTAGGTTTTTAAAAATTTTGGATAATTTTTTCGTTTCGGTTCCATTTTGATTTTTGGATTTGGATAGTATGTTCACAACTAAGTTTATCATTAGTTTTCTTATCTGTGTTTTAATCTATTTTATTGAAAATATTAGTTTGTATTCTTAACCTCAAAATACTTTATAATATCATTGTTGTCCTATTGTGTTTTTAAAGAATTTTTTCCATTCATTAGATATTTTTTCGTTTGTCAATTGATTTGACAAATTGTCGTCCCAAATATGAGACTTCACCTGGATAAATTATAGGATTTCATAATTTTTTATATAAAATTAAATAGTAGTTGTCAAAAAAATGACACCATTGTAAATGCTTAGCAAATCAAATAATGTAACCCGTTTTTCATTGATCAAAGTTCATTTTTAATTTTATAGTTGAATAGGTTAAACCCTTCTTCATTCCATATCTTGATGAACTACTTTGCTTACTTGATTAAAAATGATAGAAAC